TTATTAAAATACAAAATCATTCTTTGTGATCTTTAAAAATTGAACTTTACTAATATCAAGTTGAATATAATTTATACATTAATAAAACAACAATTACGTTATATTTTCAAGACAAAAAATACTTTAAATGATTTATTTTTAACGAATCAAATTAATTTTTTTTGAAATTTCTTTGTTTTCGAATGATTTAAATCGAAATATTAATTAAATACAACATGTCCAATTTAAAACAACTTGATCAATACAAAAATGAAATTTCAACATTCTTGGAGAAATTTGATGATATCAATGTTTTTATTCAAAACGCCACAAAACCATTTGACGAAAAATCTCCTCTTTTTGACTGTGTATTTGATGACAATGACACGGACAAGATGACAATTGAAGAAATATCACAAAGAAATTTGAAATATGATGAAACTATAAACAATAAAATAATATCTTTAGAAAGTTATTTTGACAAAGTTCAAGAAGCAATTGTAAAGAGAAAATATGTTTTTTCTTTTATTGAAGAGCAAACAACACGTTTAAATGAAGTTCTTTTAAAATTTCAAGAAACGTCAAAAAGTGTGGAAAAAGATTTTCAAATGTTGTCTGAAGAGAACGACACTGCAATTTACGAAATCGTGAAAGCAAAAAAGAAAAGCAAAGAACTCAAAATTCAACTTTTGGAACTGCAAAAAGCAAAACACGAAGAAGAATTTAAAGCATTTGCAAACAGTTGGGAAGAAAAATTAGAGAACAATGCTGTTGTGCAAAATGAGAAGATGATCAAGAACAAAAAGGAAGATGAAACAAACAACAGAATAACTGCTTATAGTAATGGTGTAAATTTAAACAAAAAAGTCGAACTATTTAAAGAAATAGAAAAACATTCAAAGACAACTTTTAATCGTGTTTTTAATTTGTATAATACTTATAATGGAAATTGCACAATAATTAACAACAAAAATGGTTTAAAGCCATCTCTTTTCTTGTTTTCAAACGCAAATAATCAATATTTCGGAGCTTTTGTGACCAATGGTTACAAACAATGTGCAAAATCATTTTTGTTTAAAATTAAAGACGAAAACGTTTTTTCTATGACATTAAAGATGGATTAGAGGAGTTTGAATATGGAATAAATAATAATACCCTTTCTTTTGGG